TTGGCGGAAAAACATGTTTTGAAGGTTTGGCGGTAAAACATGGTTTTGACAGTTTTGATGGAAAACGTGATTTTGCAATTTTAGCGGAAGATGTGTTTTTACATTTTTAGCGATAAAATTTTGCAAGAAAATACATTTTTACGAGAAATGCATTTTAAGGTTTTGGTGAAAAAAACATGTTTTCACGGGAAAACATGTTTTTGATCTTGGCGGAAAATACACATTTTTCATATTTGACACGAAAATGCATTTTCGATTTTGGCGGAAAAACTTGTTTTTTGGATTTGACAAAAAAAAACATTTTTGGTTTTGGTTTTTCGGTTTTGGTGGGAAAAGACGTTTTTCAGTTTTGGCGGGGAAATGAATTTTTGCAGGAAAAATGCGTTTTTCGGTTTTGATTGGAAACACATTTTATTTTTTTTTCGCGAGAAACCGTGTTTTTATAGTTTTGGCAGAAAATGAGTTTTTTTGGTATTAGTGGAAAAACATATTTTACGCTTTTGGAGAAAAAAAATACATTTTTGGTTTTGCTGGGAAAACATGTTTTTCGTTTTTGACAGGAAAATGCGTTTGATGGGAAAAACATGTTTTATTGTTATGGCGGAAAATGTGTTTCATGGATTTGGAAAAAAAACACACTTTTTGGTTTTGGCACCTAAATGCATTTTTGGTTTTGCGGGAAAATGCATTTTTGGTTTTGCGGGAAAACGCATTTTTCAAATTTGTGAGAATATGTGTTTTTAGGTTTTGGCGGAAAAACATGTTTTCGGCGGGAAAATGTGTTTTTCGATATTGACGGGAAAACACATTTTTCAGTTTTTGCGGAGAAATGCGTTTTTCGATTTTGGTCAGAAAATGTGTTTTTTGGTTTCGGCACGTTTTCGATTTTGGCCGGAAAATATGTTTTTCAATTTTTTTTTTTTTTTTGTCAACAACATACAAAGACTCTAAACAGACTCTGCAAACCAAACTGGTAACTCATCATCCATATGAACAGTATAGGACGGCTGTTTCCGAGAACTACGTGCTAGTTTGTCGGCCTTGGTATTGAGCGTTCTTGGGATATGAATTATCTCTGAATGAGTGAAGCTTTCTCGGAGAATCATTATATCGTCCAGGTAGTTAGCAAATGCTGGCCATTCTCCGGTGCAGAAACCATCTTCACCACTTGGATGTAGTCCGTAGCAAACGTAACATGAATTTGACGCAGATTCCTCATACTTTCCATTACCCATATAAGAGCCTCTATTTCCGCGTGCAATGGTGATAGGCTTCTCCTCGTATTCCTTGCCCCCATTAAACCCCTAAACCCCGGAAGGGTACTGAACCAACCCTGGCCCGAGAATTTATCCTGCTCCGTCCAAGACCCATCTGTAAAGCACCACCTACCGGGTAGGTGGTGTAAAGTGGCTTCCCTAGGCTCCATTGCATGCTGAATGCTTTGTTGCATTGTTTCCTGAGCTTCCTTCCATAATATAGATTCAGTTTCTGCCATCCGCAAAGTATCCCTGGGTTCGACATTAATATTACTGAAAACTTTATCATTCCTTGCCTTCCAAATATACCATAAGATCCAAGCAAATTGGTGGTCATCCACAACCGACTTAACCCTCCAATATAGATAATCCATTAGTAAAAAGAGCTGAAGTGGGAAATGCAGTCGGACTTGAAGGGATCTTGGACATAGCCCATACTTGAATCGGTGGAGGACATTCAAAAAGAACATGATTAACCGATTCCTCAGTATCTCCACATCTCTCACAGTGTAAATCTCCTTTGATGCCCCTAGACCTTAAATTTTTCCGCACAGATATACATCCCGTCACAATCTCCCATAGAAAATGTTTCATCTTCGGGGGACATCTAATTTTCCACGAGTGCGCTTTTAAAGCATTCACGGAAGGTCCATACCCCGGCAGAACTTTGTCCTTATCAGGATATACCCTCTCCACATGATACCCTAACCTAACCGAATATTTCCCGTTAGTCGTAAAATGCCATCCAACCTGATCCACCAGACGAAACTTACTAAGAGGTATACTCTCAATTATCTCCGCTTCCGCTGGAGAAACTAAATTCCTTATGACCTGAGAGTTCCATTTTCGAGTAGCCGGAACTATTAGCTGATCCACCGTGAGATGAGGGTCGATTTTTTGTTGATTTGAAATTGCTGGTCTCGGGCGAGTGGTTGGGAGCCAAGGATCATTCCATACTGAGATAGATGATCCTGATCCCACCCGTTTAATTAGTCCTTTAACAACCAGAGATCTAGCAGAAGTAATACTACGCCAACCATAAGAAGGCGAGTATGAACGCACTTGTTCCAGGGGAGATGTATTCCTGAAATATCTTCCTTTGAACACTCCAGAAAATAGCGTGTCCGGTTTTTCTATCAATCTCCAGAACTGCTTACCAGGCATAACCGTGTTAAAGTTCTGGAGATCCTTGAATCCTAATCCTCCTACTTCCTTATCAGTACACATCTTATCCCAAGATATCCAATGCATACCTCTTGTACTCCCTCCCGGGCTCCACCAAAATTGAGCCACTGTACTTGTTAATTTAGAAATAACATTCTTTGGAATCCTGAAACAAGACATAACATGATTTGGTAGTGTTGTTATCACCGATTTAATCACTACTTCCTTTCCTCCCTTTGAAAAAAATTGGATCGAGGATTTTTGGAAATTAATCACCTTTCCGGAGACCTCCTCATACTCTTTCAGAATCCTGAGAATAGTAAAGCATTCCTCCTGCTGTGCTTTACAAAAAAACAAGCTATCATCTGCAAAAAGTAAGTGTGAAATCGCTGGGACGCTCGAGCAACCTTTATCCCTGTCAGCTGTTTATTTCTCTCCGCCTTCTTAATATTGGCAATAAGCGCCTCTGTGCACAGAATAAATAAATATGGGGAGAGTGGATCCCCTTGCCTTAACCCTCTCTGTGGTACAATGTTTCCTCGCGGATCTCCATTTATAAGCACTCTATATTGCACGGAAGAAACACATTCCAATATAATTTTGACCCAATGGGGGTGAACACCCATTTTCCAGAGCAAAGCTTGAATAAAATCTCATTCAACTCTATCATAGGCCTTAATCATATTTGTTTTAATTGCCATGAACTTATTCTGGCAGGATTTGTTTGCTCGTAACCCATGAAACATTTCCTGCGCAATAAGGATATTATCTGAGATTAACCTCCCCGGAACGAAGGCTGACTGCGTCTCTGAAATCAACAGGGGAAGACAAACCTTTAGTCTTTGACAAAGAACCTTTGAAATAATCTTATAACCAACATTACAGAGACTTATCGGACGCATCTCTGTCATCCTAGTAGGTCTCTCGACCTTAGGAATCAAACAGATATTAGTTGTATTTAATCTGGGATCCAACTCGGCCGAGTACATCCTTTTTTATAACCGGCCATGAGTGCTGGAAAAATAATGGGGTCATCCCATCAGGGCCTGGAGCCTTTTCCGGATGCATCATAAACAAAGCCTGTCGCACCTCCTCCTCTGTCGCCAGTCTCAGCAGCCTCTGGTTCATACATTGAGTTATAGACGATGGTATTTCAGCAAGAAAATCATCAAACTCAGAGGGTTGCGTAGAAAGAAATAAATTATTAAAAAAATTCACCGCAACCTTCTCCACTCATTCATCCTCTGTTATCCAGTTGTCCTCCGCATCATGAAGTCCCACAATCCTGTTCCGAGTCCTATGTTTTTTTGTCAAAGCATGGAAAAACTTCGTACTCCGATCTCCTCCCGTATTCCACAAATTCCGACTCTTTTGTTGCCAATAATCCTCCTCTTCTTTATATGCCTCCTGTAGTTTGCGAGAGATATTCACTATTTCTTCCTGTGTCCTATTATTATCCATTTGAACCTCCTCCAACGCCTCTTGTAACTCATTGATCTTTGCCTTCCCAAATGTAGGATTATCCTTTCTCCATTTAGATATTTCCTGTCGACAGTTACTAATCTTATTGACGAAACCTCCCAGCCCATCACCGCACTGCCTCTCCCTTCCTCTAGAAATAGAGTCAAAAAATCCTCTATACCAATCCATCTTTTATCAAAACGAAACTGACTCCTTCGTCTAATAACTTTATCTTCCATAAAAGCCACTACTGGTCTCTGATCCGAACTCACCATTTTCAAATATTCTGTGTACGAGCATGGAAATAAGGCGTGCCATTCCTCATTTGCTAAAGCTCGATCCAACCGACAACGTACAATTTCTATTCCCGTCTACCTTGCCAAGACATTTGATTTCCCCGGGCCGGGAATTCTAGCAGGCCCGTATTTCGAATCATATTATTAAAAGGTACAAAAGAAGCAGCACTCCGTAGAGAACCTCCGTTCTTCTCATGATTACCAGTAATCTCATTCAAATCCCCTATAACAAACCATGGTTCTGATCTTGCTAAACCATATCTTGTAAGTCTTTCCCATACTTGTTCCCTTAACTGTTGAACTGGGTCTCCATAAACAAATGTTAAAACCACTTGTCTTCCCAATATAACCGCTTCAATATCAATTACTCTGTTACTAGTAAATAAAACTTGCACTTGAAATTTTTTTTTATAAAATAACGCCAAGCCTCCACTCCTGCCTATCGGATCTACTGTGACCAAAGAATCATATCCTAAATGGTTTTGAAAACCTTGGACAAAAGCAGACTCTTGTTTCGTTTCCGATAAGAATAAGAAATCCGGTTTATGTTTATACCAAATTTCCCGAAGATAGCTAATTGTCCATTTACTCCCCATTCCCCTACAGTTCCAGCTTAGAACTCTCATAAAATAATTCTTTCTCCTCTCCTCCGAGCTTCACGGATGGGTTTGAGGAGACCCGAGACGCCTATACAAAATAGTTGGTGACTCGTACTAGAGAGACCATAATTGTATTTCCAAAAGCCCGTTATCATTCCATGTTGACAAACCCACCCTCTTATTTGTCCCATACATCGTACATGCCCATGAGGACCCCAAGCGTATTATTGGCAAGAGGCTATCAAGGTTTGTACCGGAAACCAAATCCGAGACCATATAGGCCACTGAGAGCTCGGTATCTTAGAATCCATACACTCCATACTCCAATGCCATTTCAGTTTTTCCTCCTCCCCACTTAAAGCATAAACGCTAGACAAAAACAGTCGATATAATAAAGAGATGTTAGAGGATCTATCAAACAACCTTCACAAATGCAGTCTCATAAACCAGCACTGAAGAGGATACTCCTCGAGATACCTAGTTCTTGTCCAACCAAAAACAATGAGAACCAATTTCAAGAATAATATCCTTGGAAGATCATATACCTTTGGGAGAGAAAACCGATGATACCTTCCCTGGGACACAACCCTTGCAGAAGTTTTCCCCAACCAAACATCCGTAAACCAAAACCCAACAATTCCATACCTATAGTGCCGTAGAGCTTGTCTCTTGCAGGTTTTAAATCCATGAAGTATTTTAAGCTTGGTTTTGCAATGACCACACTCCTCACCTCTCCTGGTTTAGATCCTCCTCCCTTACGGTTACCTACTGGTTTGGTTTGCAGACGCTTGCGAGGAGACAGAAGAACCTGCGCGAACTTCTTGGTCATAGGTCCTCCCATAGTTGTGGAAATAACCAGTTTACGCGCTCCCCCCTTATTGCCTGCATCGGCCACCATGACCTCCATCTCCTCAGCCATAGCAGTTCCCAAATTGTCCTCTTCCAACTCCTTGACCACCACAACTTCCTTCCTCATCCGTCAAATTCTCAAACTCCTCATCAGACTTTATTTCCTTCTCAACTCCCCTTTCATTAAAAACAACCCCCTCGAGCTCCATCCCTTCACTTACCAAGTTCTGAACACCCTGTGTTGGACTCACCGATAAAGCATCCACACCATTCCCTGAATCCGTAGCGACGACGTTTACTTCTAAGGGACGTTCCTGGACGTTTTGGTCCACCTGTTGTTTACCTTCAACACAGCTTGACTTGGGTATCTCGACAGCCTGATGGTCCTCTACCTGAGCCCGACCTGGACCCTGGACGCCTTCCTCGACCCTAACCTGCACAGACTCATGGACTTCTCCCTCTTCAGGTTGATTCTCGACAAGTCGCTGTTGTCCACCTACTCCCCGTGGAGACTTAGCACGATCAGTACCAGCATCATGACGCGCCTGTTCCCATCTGGAATTCCTTTGCATGGATCCTCCCTCTTCCACCCAGCTACTACGATTAGAGTAGGCTCTTTTACTTCCTCTCTCAGGGACTTTTTTCCATTTAGAACCCATCTCCTCATACATCTTTCCTTTTCCTTTCCCCTGGTAACCTCTTTGATTATTATAACTCTCCAAATAACCTCCATCACCCTTTGTGACAACCCCCTTGTAGCTTCTTGCCCTATCCTCGTTCCTGCTCTTTATATCCTCTCGTGGATCTCTTTTCCTCTCCACCTTCTTCATAATTAAAGGACAGTAGTCTTCATGGTGGCACAAGCTGAGACACGTCTGGCAATAGCCAAACAGTTTCTCATACACCAAGGTGACCGGAACCTCCACCTCCTCATAGAACCGGCCTCCTTTAAAATCGATTGTTGTATCAAAACACAGCTCCTGAGATCCATCCATCACCACTCGAATCTTGCCAAAATCCAGATCAACATCCGTTGTGACACCAATAGCATCCCCTATGCTATGAAAAGTCTCCGCCGACCAAAACTCATTAGGAACTCCCATCACCTTGATCCAGAATAGGATTTCAGACGGATACTTGAGTGGCATCCTTTGTTGCCATCGTCCTAAGGAAAGCATCCAGAAATAAAAATGGAATGGTTGTAATCCCATAACCGCAAGTATGTCCTCCTCTTTGTCGAAATGAAACTGGAACCGTCCCAATCCCAAGTCGACCCCCACCACCCTGTCTTCCATTTTCCATATCTTCGGTAACATCACCAACAGAGAATCAACTTTTTGCTCGTCCGGGTTCATGCATCTCCCGACTAACGTTCTGGAGTAGCTTCGGATCAGATCAGAGTTATTGAAGTGTGTATCTGAGATTTTCAACCTTTTCCGGTTGTTCTCTCCAACCATGGCCTCACTACCACCGCTCACTAGTTGACTCTGCGACATCTCCACAAAGAACATAGAAAAGAATAAAAGCTTAGAACACTCGTAGAAATGTAAGGGAATCGGAATGTAAAACCCCGAAAACCTCCAGTCCCTTTTATACTCCCACCATAAACAACAAGAGATAATAGCATATCTGCCATTTAATCGATAGCAAATCTGAACTTCAAAGCTGTATCTCCCATCAAATATGCAAATCTCATTCCCCTCTAAATCAAACCAATCAAATCTCCTTATACCAGATCCCATCCCAAAAAATGAATTTCGTACTTTGACACAAACCAAAAACTTACCTTTCATAGACACTATATTCCGCATCCCTTTCCAATAACTGAATACTGCCCAAATCCTAACGAATCTCTGGGATAGCAAATCCCTACTCCCTTGAAACCAGATCTCCGAGAATCCATTTTCTAAAGATCCTTGCCGAAACACGATAAACCCAATCCTCTTCTCAAGATATTGATGTGAAATTCCTTGATCTTCACGATCTCCGACCAGCCCCAAAATCCCTGGATCCCATCCAGAAAGCATCCGAAACCCTAAAAATCGCCTTCACAATCGCCGTCGCTCTAAAAAAATCAATACCCTATTTGTTGTGCTTTCATATTTTATCTAAAAAGTCAATTTATATGTTTTTCAATTTTAGTGGGAAATGTATTTTTTTGGTTTTGATAGAAAAATACGTTTTTTGAGTTTGGCGGAAAAATTAGTTTTTGGCGGAAAAAATACATTTTCGGTTATGATGGAAAAACATGTTTTTTCATGACAAGAAATTACGTTTTTGTGGTTTTTCATTTTCCGTGAGTGACAAAATGATATTAAACTTAGGTTTGTAATTTGTAAATTATTAGGGGTATAATAGATCTTATACCATTTTGAAACAACCATCTCCATCCAGATGGTCCAATTTGAATCAACCAACTGGTTTTCAAAATTATGCTTATAGTTTTAGATTCATTTAGATGAACCATCTAGATGATTTGTATTTTTCATGTCTAAGCGAATAAAACTTTCATCTCTATCGATATGGCTCTTTTGGATGAAGAAACGAACAACCCATACATCTATTGTTTTCTTTATTTGAAAAAAGAATATATTAAGAAACGTTAAAAAGAAGGATATAAATATACAAAGATAGAATAGACCTTTCATGTTACCAACACGCCATCTTCTTGCTTACCACACTCGCAAAATATTTTGTACTAACCTTATTCTTTTAACTTTATCAGCTACCTATGAATGCTATATGTCGGTGGTTCTTCCAAGCTAATTGGAACTACAGAGACGTGCCACCAACCAAAACTCTACATAGTTGACAATTCACTACAAGAAAAGAGGGTATATTCCGAGGAAACTTCCGACGGCCAAAGAAATCCTCGGAAAATTCCGATGGAATTTCGATGAAATTCCGAAGAAACTTAAAATTTAAGTTTTCTCAGAATCTCGTCGGAATATTTTGACGAAATTCCGAGGAACATACATTCCGTTGGAATATACCGTGGACATTCCGAGGATTAATTATAGCCGTTAATGAGCCGTTGGAAAAGTTCAAAAATTCTGACAACAGTCCGACGAATGTATATGTCCCTCGAAATTTCATTTGAATATTCCGACAAAATTCTGAGGGCCACTTATAGCCGTTGTATATTCCGACGAAATTCCGAGGGAAATTTATAACCGATGTATATTCCGAGGGAATTCCGATGGAAAATAAAGTTTCCGTCGGAATTTCATCAGAATTTTTGGCAACATTTCATCTATAAATGCAATCTATAAATGCATTCACTCAATATTCTCATCCTCTCACTTATACACACGAATCTGGTTCACAAAAACATGCCTTCTTCAAATTATTATCGTTCGTGGATGGATCGACCTTATTTGGATCCTGACACAAAATTACTTACGAAAGAATACCTAAAAGGCATTAGGGAATTCATGGCGGTAGTTCAACGACAACCGAAAGCAAAAACGGGTATGTTAAGATGTCCTTGATCTACTTGTAAAAATAGAAAGGTTATAAAAGAGTGGGATGTTTGGACTCATCTGTATTTGAACGGGTTTACACGAAGTTACAAAATTTGGTATCATCACGGGGAAATTGATTATGAATATGATAAAAAAGTGGGATGTTTGGACTCATCTCGAGGATATGCATTCACAACTCAAAAGAGAAGATGTTCAAGTACAACCTCTGATTATGGTGTATCGTCTGCATAAAGAGATGATGTGTACTATGGAAACATAGGCGAAATTTTGGAAATCAAGTATCCGGGCATGGTTGGATTGCGGTGTACTATTTTCTATTGTGATTGGTACGACAACACTGAAGATCGAGGTGTGAGAACAGATGCATTTGGTGTTACATCAGTACATTCGCGAAGAAAGCTGCAATATTATGATCCTTTCATTCTTGCTTCTCAAGCTGATCAGGTAAATATATATCTGTACATTTAATCATAATGATTCGTTCATATATATGTATATTACTATTACTAATTTACATAAATTTTTTTTTTATGTTATAGGTATTTTACATCAAGTATCATCGGGTTAGGAACATGGATGATCCATGGGTCACTGTTACATCACTCAACCCAAGAGGTCGAGTTCAAGGAAGTTCTGATCAAGACCCCCTTACAACCAAGCACATCCGACAACTTAAGTGCCTTAGAAGATTTAGCAAATGTTGACCTTGTAGTCGATTTAACCGACTTTGGAGACGAAGCTGTTGTTCATGAAGAGGATGAACCCGTCATTGGAGAGTTTCACCAAGATACATATGCGAGTTCATCTGGAGATGATTCATCTAAAGAAGAGTAGTGTAGAAGTTTTTTTTTATAAATTACACTATTTCCGAGGAAGCATTAGAGGTTCTTCTGAATTTCCTCGGCAATGCCGTATGAAAATATCTGTTAGGGGTATAGATTTTAGGGTTATATCCCTCGAAATTTCCTCGGAATATCCCGAGGACATTCTGAGAAATGTCCTTATTTCCTCGGGAAATTCTGAGGGACACCATTCTTCCTCGGAATTTCCTCAGAATATTTAGTGGACATTCTGACGGACTATGGTTTTTGAACCGAAACACCATATTATGGTTACAAAATATAACAATAGGACCTAAATAAACATTATTAACTATCTTAAACAGATTATGAGTCCAAATATTAGTTTGGCTCACATTAATGAATTTTTTCCCGATTGTATGACCGAACTTCATACAACATAAGAGAAACACTTAACACTTTAACAAACGGGAATGGAAATACTTGTAATCGATTTTGAAATTTTGTAATTTCACTTTTTATGCACATCTATAGAAAGAATCATGAATGCTATGTATTGAACAAGATTAAAATTGTGCAAGGAAGTATTTAGAGTCTAAAAAATCAAGGTTTTGAAACCACAAACAAAGTTTCGCGGAATTTCCTCAAAAATTTCTGACGAAATTCTAAGGAACAAATCAAACTAATAGGAAGACATGCAGAGAATATGCCTTTTCCTCGAAATTTCCTCGAAAATTTCCGAGGAAATCCCGAGGAATAGGACATATTCTTTT